ATAGAAGCAAGGAGTACTTACAAAGGGAGCTGGAGAGGATCTACTCGCTCAGCGCGAGGCTAATCAGCAGATTGCTCATGAAGAGCGTCAGAGAGGAGAGCGATCAGGTGTTAGCCGCCAGGCTTTGGCGCGCTGTAGTAGGTGCAGAGAGACTGGCCATAACTCGCGTACGTGCAAGAAAGATACTCTAGGTACTGCTTAATCTATTATGTTAATATGTAGTAAAACAACTATATTGTGGTGGAACTACAGGCTTATAGAGGTGCGCAGGTTTGGTGGGGTGCGGCGCTCGCTTGCCTGCGGCGCTCGCTTGCCACATACGTTACTCGAGATAATGTATTCATTTCATCAATGAAGCCAATTAAGCCGTGTCAGATCCCTTTCTGCCTCCTGCTAGTATATAACGTGTGTACTGTATGATTGTATGTCTTTGCGCAAACGAGGATGGGTATCACTTCTGATAATACATCGACAAACTTGAACAGGCTCCTATTACCTGCCAGGTACACAGATAGATAGAATAAACGAAGTACGCAAACATGTGTGCTGTATACTAGGATTGTTTCTTTTCACACGAATTGAAGTCGGGAATCACATGAATGCTAATATACCAATAAATGTACTGTATGCTCCAACTAAATACAAGGAATCCCGAATCCCCAAAAAAGACAAATGATTTCATCATCAACCCGTAACACCCGACATAAACGAAAACCACTTTTCGCGTTCAATCTCACGCCGTGTAACAAAGTGATGGAGCCTCATTTCCCTCCATCTCCCCTTTTCCTCTCTTCCTTTCTCTTCCCACGCTAGCTCCAGGCACCGTACAACCCCCCCTCTCAATCCCCGTACCACATACACACACGCGCTTTCCTGCTGTCCTCCGAGGCGAATCACATATCTACCTAGCATTGCAACAATACGAGTTGCACATGCGCAGTCAACTCCATCCTCCCGATAACTAATATCCCAGCGAGTCGTGCGCGCACATGTCACGCTACACACAAGAAATTCTGACAGCTGTCAGATGTCGGTGTCGCGTGTCACGCTTGCACAGACACACGCACACACATCGACACCTTCTCGCACGCTGAACACCAAGTCCACGAACCCAAGACCAAATGCAGGTATCCGCTGTCACTCACACGTTTCCGTGTCATTGACCTATTCCGTCGCGCATTCCGCACGACTCCAGACCCTGTTTTTTTTTTAATTATCTTCTCCTTCTCTTCTTCGTCATATTCTCCCCTGGACGATAACGGCTGATCTGCCGGGAAGCAAGAAACAAGCGTGTTTCTGGTCAGGGGTGTGTTTGAGGAAAGTGAGGAGGTGGCAAAGGCCTAGCTATGTATGTACTAAGAACGAGACACGGAGGAGAGACGAGACGAAGCAGGGAGGCAGGGAAGGAGGGAGATAATCATGGGGTAAGTAATACATTGATAGAAGAAGAAAAAACAAAGTTTTCGGCACTTGGGACTTATTAGACTAACGTACTCGTGCTCTCCGTACGTACCTGGTACCAGTACCTAGTAAGTCGAGGAACGCATCACGCCTTGTCGTTTTCTCTTTTCTTTTCTTTTCTTTTTGAACTACGTACGTACAGCAGGGAATTCTAGTTTTCCTTACTATCGTTCTTACTCTTTTATTCATTATCTGATTTAGACACAAGCAAATAAGTACCGTACGAAAAAAAAAAAGAAAGAACATGTCAAAAGATGACATGTAGATACTCAAGCTCTTGTCTCACATACAACCAAAAGCGGAAAGTACAGTAAGAGAGAGAGAGATAATAAGTCTCTCATGTTTGATACCCCAAACTTAATTTCTTTCTCTAGCTTTTTCCTACCAACGACCCCTTGCGTTTTCTCCATTATGTCGAGTCAGCTTCATACAGGGCCATGACGACGATGACGATGCTGACGGCGGCGGGTTCTTTTCCCGATTCCCTTTTTTCCTTTCGGTGCTTATGCTTATGCTTACTTAGTGACTACCAACTAATTACCACTACTTACACAAGAAGAAAAACAAGGTTTTGGCTACATGTACGTAGACACAAACGGGAAAGCGGACGGGCGGGGCGGGTCCGGAAGAGAGAAAATAAACCCCCAGAAATTTGAGTTTGTTATCGACATAGCGACGAAAGAAAAGAGAGCTGCACCTACCACTGGGGAGATTACTGTAAAACTTTGTTCCCCTTTTTTTTGGGGGGGTTCCCCTTGCTCACCCGCCTCTCACCCCCCCCCCCCCGACCCCCCTTCTTCGCATCCGCATCCCGCCGCCGCCGCCGCCGCCGCTTGACAAACGAAACTAAGTAAGGATGAGTGAGAAACTTACAGATAACCCTACTAAACTAAACTAATGGGTAGTGTACCATGTTGAGCAGTCGGCTCCGCTGCATAGCCTTTTCTTGGCTAGTCTCGTCTCTTTTTTTTTCTTTCGTTCTTGTTCTTGGCCCCTCGTATCGATCTTCCCGTCGGTGGTCGTCTTGGCTTCAGTTCCCCTCAGCAACAGCATCTACATACTTTGGACTAACGCCTCACTATCGCTCTACCCTGCCACTGCTCCTACATACTTACCCTACCACTACCCTTGCTCACATCAACAGCCCAGCCCAGCCCATGGCGCATGTTGCACATGGTATCGCGTCACATCACATCACATACACATACATACATACATACATAACACTCGGCCTCCGATGCCCGCCCCCCGTGGCTGGCCCTCGCATCTCCCGCCCCCCCCCCCTCCATCGTACCACCACACCAGCCCCCAATCTTCAGCCGAACTGCCAAATCCTCCGGCCCCCCCTCATGCACAAAAAAAGACCACTAATTATCCGACATTATCTTATCTTCGCCTCGCCTCTGCTAGCCACATACGTTCCGACCGACCATGCGACCTAAAGCAAGCCCAATCCCCGAACTAAAAAAAAACTGCATACATGCTTAGCACGACTTAGCACAGAACGCTACCATTGCCATGACACTCTCAACCGAACCACTAAGCAATTTGTCATTAAAACCAGAGCCCGCCAAGCTGGTAAAGTTCCCGTACGCATTGAATACGCTGCTGTTCTGGGCCTCCTCACACCCCCCCTCTTTTTTTTCTTGCAACCACCGCTACCACCACTACTACCATCAGATCACACACACTATGCAACGTTGCTACGCGAGCGTTGCATACATACACACACTCACACATATACACGACCCCCCCGCCCCGCCCCTCCCTCTCCGCATCCTTATCCGCAACATATACTAAAACACTACACGCTCCCAACCCCAGAATGCGGCTTTTTTTTCCTTCTTCTTCCTTCTTCTTCGTCTCTCTCAACTCGCTTACCCGTTGCATGCTCGTTACCCGTTGCCAATGGTCTTGGTAGCTGCTAGCTGCTTGGTGCTTGCTGCAGCCAACACCCCCCGCTTAACTTAGCATAGCATAGCACATATTGGCACCGTGTGGGCGGCGCGCCCGTCAGCTCCGAAAACAGGCTGTATCTTTATGCAAATCCGTCGTGATAGGCGCACACACACGGGGCATCCACACACACACACACACACACACACGTAAGACTCGGGTACCTACCTGTCTAGTGCAGCGTGCGCGCAAGCGAGGTGTGTCTGTTCTGTGTCTGTGTGTGACCGTCTTGACAAATCCTAGGCTTGGGATAGATTGCGCGCACATGTGGCCCCTTGACTAGGGGACTTTTTTTTTATGTTTAGTCGGGGCACATGTCTTGGCTCTTTCTTTACTCGAGAGTTTTCGTTTCCATGAGGCGCGAGGCGGGGGGAAGGCAGGGAACAGGAAACGTTGTGTTTGTGTAATTGCGAGCGAGAAAGTCGGATACGAGTACCTCGATATTGATGGTATATTTTTGTGCTAGAATGCAGGGGATATCTAAGTATCCGATATCGCTCCAAGCGAGCGACTGGAGGGCTTTGAAGCTGCTGTCTTTTGCAATCCCACGCGCCAAGCAGTGACAGTCTTGAATTGACAGGATAGTCGTAGCCAGAGAGAAGAGTGTATTATATGCTATGGAAAGTCGTTCATCATGTCATTTTAGTCGTAAATACCTATATTTGGCCTGCACCAATCCACCCTCCAATCCAATACCCTCATTCTTACCACAATACCTTCCACCCAAATCAAACAATGGCATCCCCAGAAGTTTAGCAAGTGGGTACAACGAGTCTACACTAGGCACGACTCCATGCAAGCATCTTCCATCACATTAGCATGTCCAGGCCCAAACTAGTGTTTTCCCGGCCTTGCGGCCCTGCTCAGCGTCCATAGTCTTTCGATGTATGTAGCGACAACAAGCATGCAGAACGCACAAACGCTGAAAACGCATATGCTAAAAAGAAAGAAAGAAAGAAACGAAAAAGGGTATAATGGCGGGTCATGATAAGCACTGCAAATTGTGCCAAGTAGAAAATTGCAAAGGCAACGAAGAAGCTTGAAGAAGAAAAAAGCAAAAAAAACGCCTACTCGCTTGCTAGACAGAAAAAGAAACAAAAAGCAAAAATTGGAACGTGGAGTTGGGAAGATTACGGTGGTTGCCTCAAACGTTGGCACCGTTGACGTTGACCTGGTAGCCGTCGTTCTTGGCCTTCAGGGCTTTGGCCAACATGAGCTCACGCATCCAGTCGATCCTCTGGTCTTTGGTGGTAACAGCAAAGTGCTGTACCTTGCCGTTGGGCATGACCTTCTTGACATCACCCTTGCCAGCCACAGTAGGAACAAGCTGGAACTCAAAGGCAGGTGCATTAGCAGATGCCTTGTCCTTGTGGTGACCCGAAGACAGTTTCAAAGCCTTGAGCTTGCTGGAGAGCTTGCTTGAAGCGAGGGACGAGCATGCCACAGCATAGTCGTCGACATCAATCGTCTGCAGTGCAGAGGAAGAAGGAAGCTCATTGGGGTGCATGGCCAGCATGGTGCCCTGGAGGCGGAAGTGGTGGTCCTGCCATTCGTGACGCAAGAGCTTGGTGCGACGCTTCTTCATCCAGCCATGGTGGTTCACACCCTTGTACACGAAGCCTCCCTTTGGCAGCGGGCCAAGCGTGTCTTCGGCCTCGTGACAAAACGGCTTGGTGGTCTTGAGTGGAGACGAGCTAGCGCTGTTACTAGAGCTGACCGAGTCATCAAAGATGGTCTCGCGCAGAGTGTCGTCGTCCGAGTGTGCCGTCGGGCTGAAGACACGGTCTTCGGCTAGCGCTGGCATGGTAAACGAGGGGCGGCGGCGGTCGTTACGCGAGCCAGGCCTCTGGAGTTGAGGTTGGTACTGCATGTTCGGGGGCACAGACTGGCTTGTGTCGCGGCTAAGAGGTTCTGGGTGCACAGCAGTTACAGGAACATCCATCTCGGAGAAGGGCGTACCAAACCGGTAGACACCACCTGGAGACGCTGTCCTACAAGGCGAAAATGCGGTATCCGGTGCCAGGTATTGGTGTACGGGAGCACCGCTGCGTGGGTTACCGACGGGTTGGGCAGACATGGCACGCGCCGGGGGAATTGTCAATTTGGGAAGGCTCTTGAGATTCGAGTGAGGGGCTGGCATGAACTCTGGGGGATGCAGCGCTGGAGTCGCGGGTGTCTGGGCAAATGGCTCGAATGACCTCGTGGTGTGCGCCGAGGTGGATGCGGAAAAGGCGGAGACGGGTTGACAGTACTGCTGCTGCGGTATCACCAAGAAGGGGCGAGGTGGGTATGTGTCGGCTGGCGGGGTGGGGGGAGCCTCGATGGGCGTAGCAGTGTAGTAAGGTTGTTGCTGGCCTTGCAGCGTCAGAAACTGTCGCACATTGTCTTGCGGATCGCGTTGCTCGAATTTGTCCAGGTCCTGGAGACTAAAGTCTGGGAGTTGGCCAGGGCCTAGCACGTCGGACGATGCAACTACCGACGGGACCACGACGGAGGGCGCGGCTTCCGAGTTGGGACGATGGACATTCTCGACAACGTGACTGGCGGTTTGGGCGTTGCCAGGGTCGCCGGCAATGAAAATATGGCCGCCCTTCTCAGGTGATATGGGGAATCCGTGCTCCTGCTTGAGCCTGGCGAGCTGCCGTTGCTGCTTTTTCCATTTGGAGCATCTCTCGCCCTTTGCGCAGACATGGGGCTTGGGCAGCAGCTGTTCAATGGCCACGATGGAAACCGAGTGCGCAGGGGTGATGACGTCGTCTCCGAGATTGCGACCACGCGACTTGTCGCGCCGGCTGGCCTTGCGACCCTTGCTCTTTGACCTGTTCCGTGCCTCCTTGCAAGGGCGTTCAATGTCTTCAAACGGAGTGGGGATGGGTGCAGGGGCCGTTGGCGACATGAGGCCCTCTGCGGTGCGGAGCGAGTCGATTTGGTTCCATAGTTGGTGCCTCTTGCCAAACGACTGGATCTCCAGCTCTTTCAGATCGTCAAACTGCATATCCAGGAGCACCGCGCCCGTGATGTCGTGGCCGATGAACTTGTCAATGATGTCGTCTTCAAAGCCATTCTGGTACATCCAGGTAGCCACGTCTTGCGAGGTCCAGGCGCGCACTTCGGCGTTGTCGAGGTGGGAGACGGCGCGGGCAATGTTGTTGTACTCGTGTTGGGGGACTATGGTTTCCGGAGTGGCTTCTCGGAAGGCGGTCTGCAGGCGGGGTGGCGGCTGTCTTGGCAGTAATGGCGACAGTTGCATGGCATCATCGTACGGGAACTCATTCGACGACTGGAAGGAGCAGAACAGATGGGGGCCTTTGGGGCCCTCTACCGGCTTCGTTTCTGGCCAGTAGGCGAACTGCGGTCGGATGTCTTCTGCCGGTGTAGTTACCTCTTCAAATGTTGATATGGTTGTTTGGCTCCGCCGGTTGTCACTCTGGGGGCTGGTCAGTACCAAACACTGCCTCGACGAGAGGCAAATACGTACAGAGGAGCCGCTGAATTCCTCGAATTCGCTCGAGTCGTCCTCGATGTCGGTGTAGGCGACGCTGATGTGGGAGAGGGGGCGCTCTAGCGACGAGCGGGCCGCAAGAGCACCAGAGAAGAAGGACTGTGCCTTTCCTCTTTCGAACATTTCCATGCCCGGCTCCAGCGGGGTGATGGGTGTCATGTCCTGCTGAGGGCGAGTTAGTGCTGGGATGCTGCGAGTTGAGAGTTGGGGGATGCGCACCATGATCACGTTGGTGGTGCTGGGCGCACTCGCTGCGAAGTCTGTGGGCGTGGGCGTGTAGGGAAAGCGGGTTTGGTGGGAGGACTGCTACGACGTAATCGGGGCGAATGTCGCGAGCATGGCATAGACACACATGGACACTGTAGCAGCACAAGACGGTCGAAAACGGGAAAAGGGACCCTTCGGGTGGAGAGCGCTTGCGGGTCTTTTGTAGAGGTTGCTTGGGCGCCGTTGGCGGTGGGGGGGGGGAAGAGGTAGGGCTTGGGCGATATCACACTGTGACTGTGGCAGCTGCACGGGACGGCGCATAGGAGGGCGAAGCGGCCACTGAGCGAGGACGAGCTGGCGGCGGGCATGCTGGGGCACGCTGGGGCATGCTGGGGCGGGCGACAGGCTGGCGCTTAGTGTAGAGCGTTGAGAGGACGAGCGGCGGCGGCGATTGGCTGGGGGCGACAGATTGGGCGTCGGGACTAATCGGGGCTAATCGGGGCTAATGGCTGCTAATAGAGCCGGAAGCGGACGGGCAATTGCCATTAATATCCCACGGGCCACCGCACCGCACCGCACCGCACCGCACCGCACCGCACCGCACAGCGCTGCACTACCTAGTATGCTCGTGTACATGTACAGTATAGTATACGTACATAAGACGGCTAGTCGTGGGTGGTGCTAGCACTAGGGTTGCCGCCGCGGATCCCTTCACGACGGCAGCGGATCGTGTCGTCGCCGCCAGTCGCGCGGGCGCTGCAGCGAAGATCTGAGCTGGGCCATGGCGTGCCCGCGTGCTGTTGGCCGCCTCGTGGGACGTGGTGAACCTCGGCGCCCACGCGCATGCCCACGTCGACGGCTGTGCCTGTGCCTGTGCCTGTGCCTGTGCCTGTGCCTGGATAGAGCCACGGCCAGCGTCATAGGGAGCCAGCCAGCCAGCCAGCTCTACACCGCGCCTTTGCAGCGGTGGAGCCTCGGCGCGGACGTCCGGCGTCGTGGTCCCCAGGTCGTGGTCGTGGCGGGTTGACGTGTGCTAGCCGACAGCCTCATGAGTGATATGCAGCAGGCGATATTGGCACAAGCATCATCATCACATGCGGATGCGTTCCGTGCTCGAGCGGCTGCGTGCAGCCCGCGACGCCACAGAGTCAAGAGCACATCTCATCGTCGTCATGGCGGGCCCGTTCTGCTGCTCGTCGGACCTACCTCGACCTCTCTCTTCTGTCGCTCCCCAGCTGGCGTCGTGCAACCTGGCACGCACACATACACACACGTCGCGACCGATAGCGGGCGCGCCGTTGACTCATCCCTCGACACAAGCGTCCCGGCCGGCAGCCTGCTACCGCTGCCCGGCCACACTGCACCACCCTACACCACCCGACACCACACGACACCACACGACACCACACGACACCCACACATTCCCTCGTGACTCCCCACCATGAAACCCTCATCAACGTGGCGACCAACGGCCGCGCAGAAGACCATGCACACCGCGAGCCCGTGACCGCAAGGCCCTGCGGCCACCCGAGTCGACGCTCTCTCGTGTGCTCCGCTGCCACGACGGCCCCAGGCGAATCAGCGTGCAGACATGGCTGGCGGCCACCACACGTCCAGACCGCAACTTGTGCAAGCATCATCCCAAGCATTTTTCTCGACAGACGCGCCAAGCAGAGCAAAAAAAAAGTAAGTTGCACCTCTGATGTGACAGGGCTGCTCGCTTGCTACGTGCGAGTACGAGCGCAGCCGAGCGGGCGGTGGAACGGGCAGTGGAACGGGCAGTGGAACGGGCACTTGGACCTGTGCCACCCACGGGGTAGGGCAGGCAGGGTAGCCGGCTCTACCGCGCCAGCATACTGCACTTGGTGGTGGTGGTGGTGGTGTAAGTACAAAGAGCCGGCACCACGAGTCGCTCGGTCGCGGAGCCGTGGCACTAGATGCCCAACAAGGACGCAAACGAGGCCAGTGCCAGCCAGCATCATTTCCCAGCAGCCGGGGAAGCACGAGTGGCCGTGGGCGCTCGCATCAAATCCGCGCGGTCAGGTGAGGCATGGCATGTATGCCCGACCGCGACCGAGCTGGTACAGGCCGGCCAGTCGTCGACGAGCCCCATTCGTCGCCTGCCAAGTATTGATTGCAATTGCCGGTAACCAATGGCTGCCCGCCCCCGCCGTGCCTCGCCCAAAGCGGGAGTTGCTCCAGCGAGCGCCCGCCCCACGCACTGTGTGTAATTATGGGCCTTTGGGGGCACGCCCGACGCGGGCTAATTAGCGGCCTATTCATAGTCGTCGTCGTCGTCGTCGTGGTTGTGGTCGTGGTTAGGGGTGCAGTGTAAGCTAGAGTTGGAGCTAGCCCGCAGCCGCCCGCCATTGGCCGCCCGCGCCGCGCTAGCAAAAGCTTGTTCTGCAAATTCCACATTCCACGTCCAGCACGCCAGCACAAGCGACTGGCGGCGCGCGCTGAGTGGCTGCGCGCTGCATCGTGTGCCATGCCCGTCCGCCGCGTTACACGAACCCTCATCCACTCCCCTCGTCGTCGCCCGCGTAGCTCGGGAAAACATCGTCAACCGACCTGCCGTCTTGGGCCACGAGTGCCGTCCGCCGTGTTGCTGTCCTGCGCGCGCCGTGGAAATGATCACGACAAGGCGAGCACACGGTGTCACGCTGGCCTTTTGTCGCCGACGTGGCACAGGCTCATGGCCATGCAAGTGTTTCCTGGACAGACGGCTCTGAACTTGCAACCACGACGACGACGACGACGACGACGGCTTCGACTTGGCTGATGGTGCCCCGCAGCAGAACAGGCCAGTGCAGCAGCTGCAGCTGCAGTGCGAGGATGCGGGCGGGCCACTCGTCACCCACGCACGCGACCCCTGCCGGCTCGCGCAAAAAACTCTTGCTCGCTCTTGCATCCAGGTGCGCATTTCTGGTAATGGTAAGCAAACCAACGGCACAATTATTCACCTGCAAAGCTCGCTGCGGGGACCAGTAGGCCGATCGATAGCCGTGGAGCGATGGGCGCTCGGGGCCGCGGCTGGACCAAGCGCGGCGGGTAAGTAGGTGCGCCCCAAAATAGCCGGGCAGGCTCCCAAATGACCCCAAATGTCGACATGACGCCTCTAGTCGGCCCAATCAGCGCGCCGCTGCCGCTGCCTGCATGCCTCTCGCATCTCGCAGCCATCGCACCCCGTCCAAGAATAGATGCAGCCATATTTGTGGCCTTTGTGCCGTTCCGGGCAGATATAAGGTACTTGACGCTCACTAATAGCCCTCGACGCATGCCAGGTAGACCGCATAATTTGCTTCCGCTCCTTCCTTCACATCAAGCCCGCTGGTCGAGCTTTTGAATGCCCATCTTTAATTACGAGCAGCCCGGTCGAGCCCTGCCATCCTGTCCCTTTCGAATCGTCCCGTCGCGCCTTAGTCGTTATTGCCGCATCGTTTACGGCCTTGCTTCATATACCACGGCTCTGGGTACCTCGACCGCCCATGTCCTCCTCGTCCCCTCCCACAGCCACCACCACGACCAAGCACTCGACCGCCATGGTAGGCACCGCGACCGCCGCCGCCAATGCTGCAAAGCAGCAGGCTTCCAAAATGCATCGCCGCTCACGCACAGGTAAGCCCTGCTCCTTCTTTGCGAAGCCCATGCAGGGATCTGCCGCATGCACGGCCGGCTGGCTAACGGGTCTGGTGCAGGGTGCTTCACATGTCGCCTGCGACGGAAGAAGTGCGACGAGGGAAAGCCCTCGTGCCGCGCCTGCAAGCACCTCGGCCTCAAGTGCGAGTACAAGCGGCCCATGTGGTGGAGCAACAATGAGCAGCGCCGCGGCCAGAAGGAGCTCATCAAAAGCATTATCAAGCGCACCAAGCTCAACGAGAAGACGGCACAGGGCAGTGCCATGACCACAAACACCCCCCCAAGCCTGTGCCATTCGATGCAGACTGCAGACACCTTCTCCGACGGCGTCAGCTGTACACGGGCGCCTTCTGTCGACTCGCAAAACTCGCTCGACTACACCTTCAACCCTGCTGCCGCTGCTGCTGCTGCTGCCGCCGCCGCCGCCTCCATCGACTTCTACAACGCGGCCATGCCCCCGCCCAGCTTCCCGCCCAGCTTCGCCCATCCGGGCCACTATGTCCCATACGACATTGACATCAAGACGGAGAGCCAGATGTTCATCAACGACATTCCCACTCGCCGCGACTCGACAATCTCGTCGTACAGCCACTACCAAACCCCTCCCGTCTACCCACCAGACAACTGGATCCAGCAGGACTACTTTGAGCGCCGCGAATCCTTCACTGAGGAGCCTCTCGACTTTCCCATCTTTGAATACAACACATATGGCACCTTCAGCCCCTCGCACCAGCCGTCGATCCAGGTGGACGACTGCGACCGACATCTGCTCAGCCACTTCCTGGAAAGCATCATGCCATCCGCTTTTCCTGTCCTGGAAACAAACCAGCCTGGTGCAGCGCAGCGCGATGTCATCATCCCTGCGCTCGAGACCAACAAGGCATACCTGCACTGCTGCATGAGCATCTCTGCACTACACATGAAGACCACTCAGGGGCTTACGGGCGAGCAGATTGACCAAGACATCCAGCGACACCGCGGTGAAACCGTTCAACAGCTTACCGCAGCCCTCTACAGCGACAGCAACCACGGCCAGACACTCGAGGCAGCGCTCGGCATGATCTTTTTCCAGTGCTCCGTCGGCCGGTTCAACGACGGTCTCATGGACATCCCATGGCACGGCCACTTTGAAGCAGTGCAGAACCTTGTCCACAGGCTCGATCTCCCTGCGCAGATGATTGCCATGAACGGACAGGCGCATGTGCAGCCTCCCTTCAACATGACACTGGCTTCGTGGATTGACATTCTCGGCGCCACCATGCTGGGCAGGACGCCATCGTTTGCCGACACGTACCGGGAGAAGCTCATTGCAGACGCATCATCCGGCCTGGCAGAGCTCATGGGATGCGAAGACCGCATCATGTACCTCATCTCGGAGATTGCGTGCCTCGAAGCGCTCAAGAACGAGAACATGGACGTGTGCCAGCTCTGCCAACACATCAAGCTGCTGGGCGAACAGATCAGCCTCACTGAGCCGCCCCAGGGCTCGCTCAACAGCGCCTACACGTCAACAGGCGAAATTCTCCCCAGGCAGCTTCGCCGCAACATGACTGCAGTGTACCGCCTAGCCGCGCGCATCTACCTCTGCAGCCTAGTGCCGGACTTTGATCGCACGTCGCCGACGTTTGTCAACCTCGTCAGCGCTCTCTGCAAGGCCATAGAGTACATCCCCGCCGGCCCAGAGGGATTCGACCGCGCCCTGGTCTGGCCACTGCTGGTCGCTGGCTCCATTTCGGTGCCGCAGTCTGGCTTCCGCAACATGTTTGCTGAGCGTTCGGCCATGCTGGGCGAGGCGGCAAACTTTGGATCGTACGGCCGGGTCAAGAACCTCCTCGAGGAAGTGTGGCGGGTCAACGACGAAAACCTTGCAAAGGGCAACACCCAGAGTGTCCACTGGCGGGACATGATGCGACAGAAGAACTGGGACTGTATCGCCCGTTTCAGCTTCTATTCCTCTCCTATAGAGTTTGCTCTCATACACCCTCACCCACACACACACCACACACACACTCTCTCTCTCTCATCAGCCCGCATGGCTACACTGCTACACTACTCTACTATACACGCGGCCGCCGCTGGGGTGCTGCGCTAGCTCCCCAAGACCACATTTGCCCCCCCTTTTCCCAGTCTGGCCTGGCCTGCCCAGGGGGCTGCCAAAAAACACCACGCCCAATCTAGCCGTAGTCTCGTTAGCCGTAAAAGTCGCTCCTAACGCCATCCAATCGATGCTATTGCGCCGTATGAATGCTGCCCTGCTCCTCCTCGGAGCCAATGGTATCCAAATTACAAAAGTGGGTATCGTGTTGAAGAAAAATATATGCAAAAGAAATAAGCAAATGCTTTGGGTGGGGTCGCCCCAAGAAGTCGGCCGCGCGGGGGGGGGGGGGAGGAGGGCCAGACGAAGAGAGAATGTAAGTCGCAAAGAGCAGCACGCCAGACCAGGATGCATACCAGCAGAAGAAGAAGCAGCAGCTCAGATGAGCAAAAGCTCAACCTGACTGACGCCTCACTCTTACATGCATGCATGCCATGCAGACGTGATTGGCCGGCCCCCGTATACCAAAGGGGGCCCTGACTACGCAGCCCTCCGCATGTGGCGCAGTAGTCGCAGTCGCTGGCGCCCGTTGCTACTGGTACAGTACGAGGCGTGGCCGTGGAGAAGAGAGGCCTTGCCTGTCTAAAATTAGCGAAGCAGCACCGGCGGCCGGAGTGCGAGTGCGAAGCCGCAGCAGCTCACCGCGGACGTACATGTACAGCAACCGCCATCTCCAGATTGCCATCCGAGCCCCGAGTCAGAGGTCGTGTGCGTGAGAGCGAGAGCCTGGGTGCGTATGTGTGGCGGGTGCGTCCAGCCTCGTCTTTGCCTGTGTCGTCGTCGCATTGCTCACGACGTCAAGTACGAGCCGCCAATTATTGTCATTCTGCCGTCGCCGTTATTAACACACAGACCTCTCGTATACCGCCCACCCCCCCACCCACGTGTATACACGCATCGTCCCGCCCCGTATCGTACTCCTCGACTCTCGAAACTCCACCTTCCCCCATGGCGTCTCCAGCCACGATTCCGTTCACCTCAGTCGACACCACCACCCGCCAGCCCGCCAAGGACGAGGTAGAGTCGCCCAGCATCTCGAGCGCAAATGCGCTTGCCCGCTACGAGTATGAGGCGGGCCATGGCAATGCCACAACAGGCACCAAGATCCTGATGGTGGAGTGGGAAGACGACGACACAACGCGGGGCGTGCGCGGCGACTGGCATATTTCGTGGGACGGCAGCACGCGCGTCTTGCCTGCCAACGACCAGCCTGCCAATGATGTGCATCGCATGTACTTTCTGCTGCCCCCGGGCGTTGCGGTACCTACCAGCGTCACACTGACGCTACGGCCACAGGACGCCAGCAAACCTCCCGTCGTCTGGCATACCAACCCCCTCCCGGCCCTCTTCCCACCGGAGCTCGGGGCGTCTGCGCGTGCAGCGGGCAAAAAGGGTGTCTTGCACACCATCTGGGCAAAGAAGCGGCTGCAGGTGCTGCAAAAGGAGATTGAGGCCGAGTCACGCACCAACGTCGAGGGCGTGGGCCTGCTCATGGCCGTGCAAGAGAAGGAGTGGATCGAGTCGACGTTTGGCGTGAATGCCAAACCGGCAGGCCTGAGCATCTCACTGGGAGAGCCCACGCTGGCTCCGATGAAGGGGCCCTCGAGCCCTCGATCGCCTGGCGGAGGGCGGCTGATGGACAAACTGGCGGGACTGCGACTAAGCACGAGCGAAAAGGACCTCTCGCCCAACAGCAGCACGCCGGGTTTCTCCAACCCCCTATCGCCCGAGTCGTCGGATATTGCCATTAGTTCGTTCGCTGTCTTCAAGGGCGCAAATCCATCGACACTTGCGGCGAAGCCTCCGCAACCACCCCAGGCTCAGCCAGCAGATCCACCTCGGAAAATCGCGGCCCAGGCGCCTCCGCAGTTCATCATGGAGCAGCAGAGTGCTGGCATGGGCTCGCTCAACGCACTATCTGGCCCAGCGCCCGTGTTCCAGTCTCGAGCCCCGGTGCTATCGACCGCCACCGATGATGACGACAAGGACGACGGCTTGTTTGCGCTGCCCATTAGCCCGCGAAGCCCCGAAGTGGGCAAGAGTCCATTTTCGTTTTCAGCAAGCGATACGGCCCCTTTTCTGAAGGAAGAGAAGGCTGCTTGAGTGACAATACACGTGCTTGTTGTCCCGGAGTCTTGGGGTATGGAATTCTGGTCTTGGTCGGAGAGGCCGTGTAGCCCTCCTGTTTGGCGTGATACCTTGGCGGCTTTGTTGCCTCTTTGCAAAATCCTACATAGGTCAATACATCATCATGAACAAGATTATCACTAGACTGTGCCCGAGCCGTTTAGATTCTGACACGCAAATGTCCACTGCGCATGTGGAAAATGAGGATATTTCGTGCTACCCAAAGACACTCGTCAAGCCAACCTTGGATGACACTCTCCAATGAGACTCTGCATACCGTGTATTCCGTGTATTCCGCATGCTACATCAAGCGGCTCATGGCCGCTGGCGTCACTGCAAGGCGGGCTGCTCGTATTCACGCAGGCGTTCGGCTTGGCGTCTGCGCGCTACGGCGCTGACGAAAGTGGTTTCGCCGACGCGAACTCGAGCGCGGCTTCCACGGTACGACTGTCGCAAAGCTCTTTCCACCATCTCCGAGCTACTTTTGTCCGTCGCATTCACATCTCAGCCTAATATCACCTACAATCCTTCGCAACAAGCAAAATCCGCGACACGATGTTGGCCACCGGGCGCGGCAGCATTGCCCAAGTGCACTACACTGGAGAAGAGGCTGCCGGTGAGATCAACAAGCTTCTAGGCGCAGTCGTAAGTGCTCCGTCTCCTCGCTGTGTGTGCAGCGTCAGCTGACGGCCCATCTAGGTAGAGAATGAAGACGATTTCGAGAGGTGGGAAGCGCTCGTCACTCGCGCCTCTGAGCTCGAAGGCGGTGTCACCCGCAACTCCAGTCCGTCGGCCATCGAGCTCGTCCGCAACGTCTACGACTGCTTTCTCACAAAGTTCCCGCTGTTTTTTGGATACTGGAAGAAGTATGCCGACCTCGAGTTCTCGATTGGCGGTACCGAGACTGCGGAGATGGTGTACGAGCGTGGTGTTTCCTGCATTACACCGTCAGTGGATCTCTGGGCCAACTACTGCACCTTCAAGATGGACACGTCGCATGACAACGATGTCATCCGAGAGTAAGTCTTGCCTTTCCTCCCCTTCCCCTCCCGATTCGGAGGCTCAAACTCGCCGTAGCCAGCGGTGGGCTCCCGCGCACTCGGGCGTTACATGTTCAGCTGTCGCGTAATCTCTCGCTGCATACCGTTTGACGCGCCTCATCATTGCCCCCCGTCACTTTGCCCCTCCCACGAAAGAGCAAAACCTAAGACGTTGGACGCACGAAGTCGATAGCCTTACCATCCCCTTGTTGGCATACTGGGTTACTTTGCAAGATCTCACCCCATTCCCCCTCCAGCCCCCTCTTTCCCCATGGTTCCAAAATTCATGCATGCTGACCGAATAGGCTTTTTGAGCGGGGCGCTCATTTTGTCGGACTCGACTTTCAAAGCCACCCATTCTGGGACAAGTACATTGAGTTCGAGGAGCGCATCCAAGAGCCAGCCAACGTTACCAAGATCTACAGCCGTGTCTTGCACCTGCCCATCTACCAATTTGCCCGATACTACGAGAAGTTTTCCGTTTTGCTCTCCAACCGACCAGTGGAGGAATTAGCCGATCCCGAGACGCTCGAAAGCATGAACGCTGCGGTCCAGCTAGAGAACCAGGGACAACCCGAGAAGCCGGCGCTTGAGGTTGAGCGACAGCTGCGCACAAAGATCCACGAATATTACTACAACTCGTACTCCAAGACACAGCAGGAGGTGACAAACCGCTGGACCTTTGAACACGCGATTAAGAGGGCCTACTTCCACGTCACAGAGCTAGAAGAGTCGGAACTTGAAAACTGGCGCAAGTACCTCGAGTACGAGGAGAAGCAGGGAGACTTTGAGCGCACGTCCTTCCTGTACGAACGCTGCCTGGTTGCCTGTGCGCTGTACGATGAATTCTGGCTGCGATACGCCCGTTGGATGTTCTCGCAGGGCAAAGAAGAGAACGCAAGAATCATCTACATGAGAGCTAGTTGCATATTTGTGCCCATCTCAGCCCCCGCCATACGCCTCAATTGGGCTCGGTTCGAGGAGAAGCTCGGTCGAACCTCTGTAGCTCGCGATATCTACCTTTCTATGCTCGAAGAGGCGCCTGAGCACACGGAGACTCTCATTTATCTTGCAGGCGTCGAGCGACGGCACCAAGGCAACGATGCGGCCGTCCATCTTCTGGAAGAATACATTGAAGGGTCCAACAACCAGATTGGCGGCATACTAGCAGCGGAGCAAGCACGAATACTCTGGCAATGCAAGGGCAGCGTTGACGAGGCACGTCAGATTTTCAAGGACAAGTACGAGCGATTCCGAGACTCGCGCGAGTTTTGGATCAAATATCTGGAGTTCGAAGTGGCACAGCCTTCCTCCGACCAGGAAGAGTCTCATGCCCGGATAAAGGCGGTTCACGAGCTGATGCGCACCAAGGGCCGCTTCACTCCTCAAGTCGCAAAAGAGCTATCACACTTTTACATGGCCTACCTCCTGGACCGTGGTGGCAAGAACGCAGTCGAGGAATATATGCAGTTGGATAAGGATGTCAACGGGTATGTATCATCTGCTCAGAGCGCTCCCTCTTAAACCCCCTCCCAAAAGAAAAGAAAAGGCCAGCCTCACAATGCAGCAAATAAACGCCAGCGCAAATAGTATTATAGCGCAAGCTCTTCTCGGCACAAGAGAGCTGCCATCTGCCTTGGTTCAGAGGCTTGCTCCTCTTGCACTGTCCCCACCCCCCCCCTCCTTTTGACCTTTTTATTATTTACCACATTTCTGCACTTGCATGACTGCTAGCAAAACGTAATACACCACACTTCTTGTCACCCCGTTGTGCTTGCTGACCTTTTGTGTTCGTCACAGTGCGAAACAGGTTGAAGACGTATCTGTTGCTCTGCCCGTTGTGCCGGCAAAGCCCAGTCACCGAACCCGCTTCTAGCAGTGCGGTAGTAATCTGGTACGTATTCCGACTCTTCTCAGCGCACCGACTCACTGCTGACTATGTTGACACAGACGAGGTGTGGTTTCCCTCTAGTACCAGAGCGCTTTGACGTGTTCAGCCTCTACGCCCAAAAGTAACTCTTGATCAGCTGCGTGTCGACCCAGATGGAGCCGGCCATGGTGCATTTTACGGTGCATGGCCGAAGACGATAATTTTTACAACGCCCCTCTGAGAAAGGTGCTCGGTCAAGTGCCCTTGATAGGTAAAGCTCTTTTTGATCCCGTTGACGCTCTTTGTTTTTCTGTTGTTGTTTCTTTATTGACGGCATTATATATTTATGGCGTTTGTAATTTTTTTTGGTAACCATGCACGAAAAAAGAAAAGTGCATGTCTAGGCTCGCAAGAAGAACTATTCCTTTTATTTTATTCCCCGACTTGCTACCATGCAAGCAACATGGAGGGCCCGCTGTTTTTGATAGAAAAATATGTGCAATATGTGTAAAAGACAAATACAGCTCAATTTTTATTATATCAGACAAGAAGCACTACTTTGTGTGTGGATTTTTTTTTGCATGTGATGGCATTCATACATAATGTCATAAAGCATTCTCAAACTATCTAGGACGATGTGGTTGCAATCAATTGTGTGTATATATAGATGGAGACGGAGTCTTTTTTTTCATAATCTCAATCATCATCATTATATAACGTGTTTTACAAGCGAGCGCCGCGTACAAGCGAGCGCCGCACCCCACTAAACCTGCGCACCTCTATAAGCCTGTAGTTCCACCACAATATAGTTGTTTTACTGTATATTAATATAATAGATTAAGCAGTACCTAGAGTATCTTTCTTGCACGTACGCGAGTTGTGGCCAGTTTCTCTACACCTACTGCAGCGCGCCAAAGCCTGGCGGCTGACACCTGATCGCTCTCCTCCCTAACGCTCTTCATAAGCAATCTGCTGATTAGCCTCACGCTAAGCAAGTAGATCCTCTCTAGCTCCCTTTGTTAGCACTCCATGCTTCTATATCCGCTTCCTTTTACGCTGCCTACGCTTTGTTGCTGCCTCGTTAGCCCTCTTAAGGCTGGCGATCTAATCGCGCATTAGCTTAGCCAAGAGCATTATTCTCTCTACCCCCTTCTTAAGCTAGCTAATCGCCGCAATATTAACGCTAGTGACGAGCT